ATATTCATCAATTTTAAGTGGAGTTTGCACCAGTGTAACTCTTCTTAACTCTTTAAACATGCTTTTGGGGATGACTTGGTCTGCACAATCTTTGTTAGCTGAGGGAGAGTGAGGAAGGGAACATGAAAGGAAAAGAAACTGGGCTGAAGCTGAGAATCAGAAAAGCATCTTTGTGGCAGGAAGTCACTTACATTTGTCCGTAAGGGCTTTCCTGAATTAATGATTTGCAAGGCTGACTCTTGGAGAAAAGATCATCGTTGTGTTAAGTGATGTTGTATAGAATTACAAAACCTGAGAAATATACCAATATTAGGATTTTTTTCTAGAGCAGAACCACAGTTGATCATCACACAGTGAAAGAAAACAATCCTAATAGAAAGCATAGAATCACTACAGAAAGTTGGCAAGGATTTTTTGTGATATCTTTTATTGAACCAACTGTATACTGTTAGGTAAACTTTTGGGCAGTTGATGCTTGAAAGCTTGTCCAAAGACTCTCCCAGCTGTACAGTTGGTCCAGTAAAGGATATCACAACCTCTTTACCTCTTGTACATTTTTCTGGACCATCATAACTGTATCTAAACCTATAGCAGAAAGTTGTGAATTCAGAATTTATTCACAGTCACAAAACTGTGGTGGTGCCTTGTGGTCAGGTAACAAACAGTGTTGCATAAGCAGTGTTGTCCATGATAAAAAAGCACCAATCGACTGATTTACTATAAACAGAAGAAAATAGCTATGCTTTAGAAGGTACTTAGTTTTGCTTTCCTTTAATAGAAGGCAGCATGTTACTAGGGGAAAACAAGCTTTTCTTTTCAAAGCTCTTATAATATAACAAGTTTTACTTTAATTTTTATTTTTGCTTCCAGTTTACTTCCTAAAGCCAAATGTATTGTCACTGCAGTTATTAATGCATTTTATTTCTTTCTGGTTGAGGTGCTTACATTCAAATGGATGGGTTTTCTGTTTGGCTGTAGCATAATGATTTTTAAATACTGCATCTGATCAATTCAAAAATTTCAGGGAATGTTCTAGGTATCAGTTGACAGAACTTTGTTGATGTAGGTAGGGAAGGGAAATGGTAGATGCTGAGTAATGGTAGAGTTGTGGTAACTTGTTCTTTGAAGGTACAGATGACCTGGGGTCTGGGTTTTTTGTGTATAGAAAAACACGTATTTTCCCCATTGAAGGAACAAACTGTGGGAAAACACGGGTTTCCCTTTGCAGGCTGGCAGCCTTCCAGTCTGCAAGGAGCTGCGTGGGACTGGTGGAAGTATGAGGAGAGTGACTGGAGGCAGGCGGCACTGGCTTAAACATAGAGGGCAGCCTGGGCGATAGTGATCATGAAACCGTTACGTTCATAGTCTGTCATAAGGCAGACAAATGGAATAGCAGGCTTGAAGTTTTGGACTTCAAAACTGTAAACTTCAGCAAGCTCAGGTCACTAGTAGGGAATGTTCTGAGGGGCCAGGGACCAAAGGCAAAAGGAGTGCATGAAGAGTGGTCATTCCTAAAGGACATGATCCTTGAAGCACAAAGGAAGTCCATTCCCATGTGGAGGAAATGTAGCAAAAGGGCTGGGAAGTCCTCTTGGCTAAACAGGAAAATCATGGTCCTCTTAAGAAAGAAGAAAGAGTCAATGGAAGCTAGGGGTAGCTGCCAAGGAGGACTGTATAACTATGGCCTGCACTTGTAGGGATCAGCTTAGAAAAGCTAAGGCAGCATCTAAACTAAAATTAGCAATGGGGATCAAGAACAACAAGAAGTCATAGTTTCATAGTTGGTAGGGTCAGAAGGGACCTGAGCAGATCATCAAGTCTGACCCCCTGCCATAGGCAGGAAAGAGTACTGGGGTCAAACAACCCTGGCAAGGTGTCTGTCTAGCCTCCTTTGGAAGACCCCCAGGGTAGGAGCGAGCACCACTTCCCTTTGAAGTTGGTTCCAGATCCTAGCCGCCCTGACTGTGAAATAGTGCCTCCTGATATTTAGCCTGAATCTACTCTCCGTCAACTTATGGCTGTTATTCCTTGTTACTCCCAGTAGTGCTCAGGAGAACAGGGACTCTCCCATTGCCTGCTGGTCTCCCTTGGCCAGTTTACAGACAACCACCAGATACCCTCTCAGCCTTCTCTTGTGGAGGCTGAACAGGTTCAGGTCCCGTAGCCTCTTCTCATAGGGCTTGCCCTGCTGCCCCCTGATCATGTGAGTGGCCCTCATCTGGACCCTCTCGATATTGTCCACATCCCTCCTGAAGTGCGGCGCCCAGAACTGGACACAGTCCTCCAACTGCGGCCTGACCAATGTCATATAGAGGGGGAGGATCACCTCCTTGGACATGCTTGTGATGCATCTGTGGATACATGACAAGGTGTGGCTAGCCTTCCTCACTGCGTCCCCACATTGGCGGCCCACGTTCTTGTGAGCAAATTGGAAGACTGTGGGCTTAACTGTGAGACTGTCAGGTGGGTAGGAAGCTGGCTGTGGGTTGGGACACAGAGAGTTCTAACGAACAGATCTGTGTCATCTTGGCGGGAAGTGGCCAGTAGTGTCCCACAAGAGTAGGTGGTTGGCCCAGTGCTATTCAACATCTTCATCAATGATTTGAATGTGGGAGTGAAGAGCTCACTGGCCATGTTCGCAGACGACACCAAGTTATGGGGGAGCGTGGTCACTCTTAAGGATAGGCTACAGATACAGGTGGACCTAGACAGGCTTTCAGGTTGGGCAGACTAGAACCAGATGAAGTTCAACGTTGAGAAATGTAAAGTGTTCCAGATGGGGAGGAACAATCCCTTACACACCTACAGGGCTGGCAATACCAATGTGACCTGCACTACAAATGAAAGGGACCTGGGGATAATAATTGACCACAGTATGAACATGAGCTGTCAGTGTGACACTGTAGCCAGCAGGGCCAACAATACCCTGGCATGCAGCTTAGCAGTACATCAGAGGTGTACATCAAGGGCTCGGTGAATAACTGTTCACCAGGGCACCCTTGGGGAAAACTAGGAGTAATGGTCACAAGCTCCTGGAATGCCGTTTTAGGCTCAACATTACGAAAAACTACTTCACAACTAGGGTGTCCAGACAGTGGAATAAGCTCCCTCCAGAGTTGATGCAGTTGCCTACCCTGGAAATCTTCAAGAGGAGACTAGATGGGTACCTTCCTAGAGTCACCTGACCCTAGTTGTCTTTTTTGCTTTGTGCAGGGGGCTGGACCCGATGATCTTCCAAGGTCCCTTCCAGTCTTATAATATATGAATCTGTGCATATACACTTTCACACAGCTCTGTGCGGTTGCCAGTGGTGCCCACCTGCTAGTGCCTGTCCCTCTAGTGGAGGTGGGCACCTTTATGGTCAGGCTGGCGGCTTTGGAGGCAGGGTGGTTGGGGGACATTGCCAGGAAGGGTGCCATGGCCAGGCCATCTGGCTCAGTGTGGGGGGTGCACAGGTGTTGCCTCCAACCCTCACTGGGGCCGGACTGGCTCCACTGCTGCCCGCATAAGCTGGAGCTGCCACCGTGCTCTGGCTCAGGCAGGATGGGACCTGGAGCCCCTCGCCCTCCTCCTGCTGCCCGCAGCGTGGCCAAGCTAGAGCTGCGCTTTGCTCCATGCTGCTGCTGTGGAGCATGGTGCTGGTCCTCCCTGCCATGCCCCAGCCCTGCCAGTGGCATGGGGGTAGCGTGTGGTGCCCTAGTTGCTGCTGCTTGTAGCTTCCCACAGGGTGTGCTTGCTTGTACCCAATGCTGGGGGCCATCTGTGCAGGCCGCTGTATTGTAGTTCACACGGGACTTGGCAGGGTGGGGGTAGTTGAGGCAGGGCTAGAGGGGACAGGGGACTGTGGGTTGGAAGTTAGGGCTACCACCAGGGTGGTGGGGGGCTGCGGTTTGGGAGTGAGGGGCACTAGCAGGGTCAGGGGGCTGTGTGGCATGGCAGCTGGACATGTGTCTTGGTGAGGGAAGGGGGCAGGGGGAGCTCTGGTTTTCCATGGTAAACCAAAGTCAAATGCCAAAATATATAGGTATTTAAAATTTTATTTTATTTTAATGATTGAGGTACTGGTAGGCTTCCAAATTGCTTTAAAATCGTAACTATATCAGTAAAACATTGTTCAACTGATAGCCATTATATTTAGTGTTTTTCAGTTTAATTGTGGAAAACCTTGGATTTTTGTTTTTTTAACCAGGGATTTTAGGATTTTTTAATCAGATAATTTGCTGTTTTTAAACCAAGAAAACCAGGATCCCTGCTAATGACAGAAATTAACACATTTCAGCCTAAGGCCATCCCTCATTTTAGCTCTTTTCTCAGTTGTTTTGAAAAGGATTCTGTCTTCCAGAGAGTAAAGAAATAATAGTGGTGGGAGGGCATGGGGAAAGGAGGGTCCTTGGTTGTCAGGGGGCCACACAGATCCTTTGCATGGTATGGAAACTGGATGAGAGGTGCACAGACAGGAATCTGTTAAATGTGATATGCCTCATCCTTCCCTCTGGAGAATAACTAAGATTGCTAAGCTTTTTGCATGCTTCAGTTGTTGTCTCAACTTTGTGTGGGATGTTACTTTGCTGCTGCCAAATTTGATTGTGGCAGATGTCAAGGTTCTTCCAATTCTGATTTAACTTCACCCCTTTTTATGTCGCATAGTTGCCAGTTGAATGTGTTTTCCAGCATATATCTTGGTTAATAATTCCTGTAAAAATGTTAAGTGGGGAAAACTTTGTAATTTTGTTCTTTTATATGCTTGGTTTTTACAGTCCCTTTGCTGTGTGACCGACTGATGTGATTCTGTTTTCTGTAAATTGTAATAATCTTAGAATGGGTAGTTTAAGCTATAAGGATTATTGTTTTTCTGAGCTAATCAGTAGTGTTTCATTGTTCCATTATAATTAACCATACTTTTCTAGTCATTGGGGCTTCACTTTTTCAATATCAAAGTACCATCTGTAAAAATAACCTGCATTTATTAGAAGTCTTGCTGTGTTTCTCTTTTGTTATAGATCCCTTGTAGTTGTCCATTTTTGGGCACCATGGGCTCCTCAGTGCATCCAGATGAACAATGTCATGTCTGAACTAGCCAAGGAACACGTGCAAGTTACCTTTGTGAAGGTAAGATGTTATTTCCAGTTAGTAAAGGCTATTTTGAAGGTATCAAAGACGAGCTAAAGGAAACAACTCCAAAGCTTGCAGAAACAGTTATTTTTGCAATAGCTTCTGGTGTCTAGAAATAAGAAATACTTATACTGCCTTGAATCCTAAGGTTATTACAGCTTAAAAGTATTGTCAAAATACTTTGGGTGAAGTTTTTGTTCTCAATCACTTTAGAAAGCTTGATATTGCAGATTAAAATAACAAATTGTATTTTCCTGCTTTTTTTTTAACTATAATATCCCTTCTCCGTGTTGATTCGTTTAGCAAAAAGGATTTTAGGTTTGTCCACAAATTGATGCAACTTGGATGACTCAGCCCTCAAGTACTGTAACTAGCTGTATTGTTCAGGCCTGATCTTTATATCCCAGGGATTTGAGATTAAAATGCCAGTGCTGCTCTTAAGGTTTGCTAGAGCTTTCATTCATTTCAGCAGTGTTGCTGGTTGGGCAAGATGATCTTCTCAGGATTCGTTTAGATGCATTAGTTGCTTTCCTATCTGTTATTAAGGATGAACAATAATCTTCACTGAGTTTACAGAAAGATGAATTTAATTCTTTGTGCTATGTCATTTTAGTATGCTATACTGAGCAGCAGTAAGCAAATGAGATGCAGTATTTCTGTGCGATCATCTGCATATCCCAGTAAGAGAACAAATATGAAAAAAAAAATGCACTAGATCTACATGGTGTTCATTTTAAAACAACTTTTTCTCGTTAATGAGACACTTTTGTGATTATCAGGGCAGGGAGTAATGGAATAACCAGCTGTGTGTATGTGCTTTAATTTGATTTCTTACAGCCTTTATGTTTTTTGGGTTTTTTTTAATGATTCATCTCACAGTTCGGCCTTTGCTTTTGTAAAGCAGAAAGATGGATCTGATTTTAAGTGTATTAATTTACAAAACCTGTTCAATTAGACGGTCTTGAAAGACTGTTTCCTTTTCAAAATGTTGAAAATGTTTCGTGTTGCCTATGTTGTACTGCTGCTCTAGCCTATAGTAGGCCAAAAAATCTTCAATCCAAACTGCTTAGTTGTTGTGCAGACTTGACTGAAATATATATATTTTTAATATTATGTTTCTGTTTACTGGACAGTACACTGCAGAATAAAATTCTAACACCGGGCCTGTAAATGCATCCCAATTATGATACAAAAGCACCAGAGCATTCTGCCAAAGCGATAAAGTATCAACAGCTTTGAATAAGTCTTTTACTTCAATTTTTGGGTTCCCTCATGGGAATAAATACAGTATTTTCATAGCTAAAATGATAGAACTTTGATCCGTATTCAGGAATAGCTAAGTCTGGGGATCCAGTTATGCCTGGTAACAATTTGACAAATCTACCAGCTATTTCAGGTAGCTAGCCATGAATAACGTTTCTGAATTGTACAGTGTCATAATGGTTTTAAAATCTATTTGTCATTGAATGGATAACCCTGTATAAATTCAAAACATAATAATCGTGAAGAGTCTTTTAAAATATGATTTTAAAAGAATAAATTACCTGCGGCATTTTAGTGTAGTCTTAGACTAGTAATGTTAAGGCGATAATCTTATTTTTAACCAAAGAAGTATAAAAATAACTTTTATAAAATAAAACATGCCGTGTCTGAAGGAACTTCAAAGTGGAATGACATGTGCAGGTAGTTAGGAAATAATCTTTCAGAATTAAAAACAAACAACCCCTCCCCTCAGTATCTTTCCTGTAACAATCTTTTAGATGCTTGAAAGGGAATTGATAAATAAAGTATATTGACAGTGTTTGATTCTCAGTTGACTCTGATAGATTGTTGTGGTATGGGACTTGGGATAGACTCAGAATTCATGGTCATATTTTGGTGCTTCTGGGCTAAATATGAAGCCTTCCAGATAAGGGAAACAGCAGCCTTATAGTTGGAACAAACCAAAGCCTATTTTTTCCAATGATACTTAAAGGTCCAAATTTTCAGTGCATCAAAAGCTGTAAATGAGGAGAACAAAGAAGGCTGGCATTTCTTGAAAATTTCTAATATTTGGGTGGGAGCCTTCCTTGGCTTCCGCATGCTTGTTGTAAACTGTACAGTTTGCAGACAGATGAGTTTGAAAAGTTTCATGTATCTGTAAATGTACAATGATCAAGCATCTTTGTTTTCCGTTAGTGTGATCCTAATACTGTTATCCCTTTGTTTTTTATCCTTGTACCACTCTAACATTGGTGTTATTGAAAAATATCGTAAAACAATAACTTCCCTCACTAAAGTCAGCTTCTATGACTTGAATCTCTGTTCTGGGCATTGATGAATAGCAGTGCTTATTTTCATGGTAAATAATCACTTCAGAATTTCAAAATACAGTTTTGAAGGAAAAATAGGTTACAGGACTGATAGTCTAACAAGCTTTCTACTTAGTAGTCAGCAGCCTAGCAGGAGTTAAAAGTAAAATTTAGTAGACATCAATAGTTTATTGAAGAAATACTCCTTTTTGCTTCATAATTTGCAGAAGGCTGCAAATGTCAGTCATGATGTACTGCCTCTCGAAATTAGTCAATAGAGCAAACAGCAAGAATTGCTGTGGGCAGAAAATAAGCACTGTAATCATGACATAACTGGGGTCAATGATTTATGGATTTCAATATAGTAGTAGCTGCATATGATTGAAAATTTACTAGGTCACTAGTGCACCAAAAATTTTATTCACAGCCTCCAGGCATCTTTTGAAATGTGCAACAAAATAAAAACCTATGAACCTGTTTTGACACTGTGCAGGCTCAGTGGATGACATGCCAGCCCAGTGAGTCTCATTTAAATGCAAATGTGTCACAAACTTTTGCATCAAACTCCTTTTTAAAACACACAAAATGCCTAGAAGAATGTTATAGCCAGGATTGACATGCACAATCAAACTTGAAAGAAGATTATGAAAATAAAACCATGTTTTCTCTGACTTCTTAAGCTGGAAGCTGAAGCTGTGCCTGAAGTATCTGAAAAATATGAAATTAGTTCTGTTCCAACATTCTTGTTTTTTAAGGTAAGAGAAAATGGATTGCATATTATTTGCATGAAAGTGCCTCGGTCCAGGAGAGTAGTTCTTGTAATTATCTTTCTACTGTTTTCAGTATGAGATGACAGAAGTCAATCTTGCTAACGTGAATTCAGTATCTTTTTTACTGATAGATTTAAAATGGTCAGCCTACAGAAGTGATACTAAAATTAATGTTTAATATTTTAGAATCCCCTTTAAATGTCTTGGGATTTATAGAAAGCTTATATTATACCTGAGATGCAAGAATGTACTTGGTATTGGGTCAAATATGGTTAATGATTCAGCCATGGTTCATTGTAATGCTAGATAATTCAGATGGAATAAGCAAGTAATGATCTTGAGGAAATGACAAGTGTTTGTTTTCTAGAATTCTTCAGAATCTTTTTGCAATTTTTTTTTTTTAAACCAAGTGACTGAACTTTTGCCCAGTGCAGGCACTGTACCGTGGCCAAAAATTCATTTAGTTTGTGACATTTATGTTCATACTAAAGACCAGCAGGATGGTCAATGCACTAAGCCACCTTATCTGTTATATATAGATACTCTACTAAATTGTTTTTAGTAGTTCAAAAGACAGTGTATGAAGCTAATGCTTTTGAGCTATTTTCTTGGCTTCTTTAGAATTCTCAGAAAATTGACAGGTTAGATGGTGCCCATGCCCCAGAGCTGACCAAAAAAGTCCAGCGCCATGCATCCAGCAGTTCTATTACCATTGGATCTAATGATAATGTGAAAGAAGATCTTAATGTGCGTCTAAAGAAATTGATCAATGCTGCACCGTGCATGCTGTTTATGAAAGGATCTCCACAAGAGCCTCGCTGTGGTAAGAACTTTGCTTAATATAGCTTAATGTCTTGCTTAATGTATTGGGCTTCTTCTACATTTATTTAGAGCGATATTGTGGTATACATCATTACAAGAGTATCTGTTTAAGCACATTAAATAACCTTATTTTCTTAACACTCGTATAAGGCTGGATGTTCCCTATCTGTATATGAGAATAATAATGGAGGCACAGAGAAAGATTTAAATGACTTATTCAAGAAGACTTATTGTTAGAGCTTAGAATGCTCTGATTTCCCGAGTGCCTAAGATAAGGCTGTTCTCCTGTTTTTCAATTATGCATCACAAACTTAAAATGACTTCCAAGGCAGAAGAGGACAGACTTGCTGGAAGACTTGAATGTTGTCTTGAAAAAGTATGCCTTGACACATACTTTGGGATATTAAGAGGTGACCAATGAAACCTCCCATTGCCATTCATCAGTATAACAGTGATGCTAGAATCTATATCATGTCATCTTTGAAAAGCAAGAGGTGGATGTACTACTTAGAGATCTACAAGTAGACCAAACCATGCCTGGGTGGACATCATCATGGGTATCCCTAAACTTGGAGGATACAACTTCTCATAAGTTTTGTCTTATACTGTACCTTGTAAAACTGTAGGGGTGGCTGCTCTGGGATCTTTAGGGTGCATTTTTCTAATAACCTTTGTCCACCTCTTGTGTGTATGTTCCTTGGTCAAAATGGTATCCACATTGGACAGCTTATAACATTTTTAGACCTTTTTTCTTATTACAAATATAACAACTGCTTTGTCTGTCCTGCCTTTCCTTATCCATGTTTGTATGTGTGTCCTATCAATATACTTTGTGCTTCAGGCATGTCCTGTCAAGCCAGCTTGACAAATTGGTAGCTTTAAGTCAAGGTGTATTTTGGTAGGTGAAGAAATGATCAGGGTTTTTTTTTCTTATCTTATTCCCACTTTCTTTAATGTAATTAGTTTTTACATAAATGTGAGGCGTTCAGGTATGTTGGAAGAGTTAAAACACACGTGTGCTTCAGACAAATCAGAAGGCACTGCATGGATGTCAGCTGCCCCTTAAGCAATTGTAAACATGTTTTTCAGCCCACTTCTTGCTGATCTGCACATGTTAAACAGAATATATGACTAGACAGTTCTCATCACTGCCCATATACCTTGTGTTTCTCTTCTATTCCAGCACCATGCTGGCAACCAGCAGCACAACAATTTTCCAAGGCTGTTCATTATCTTTTTTGGAATAGAATCATTCTCTGCTTTTTTGGGGTATGTCTTTGCTTGGAGTGGGCCACATTTGATTGCTAGCTTACTTCTGCTGGGCATCCTACTTGTCATCACTTATTCCATTGGTAGCAGCAGAAGTACACATTCATCTACTATCTTAACTTGGCATTTTTGAGATGAAAGTAAGGTGGACTGCAGGCTGTTACTTCGGTGTGAAAAAACAGCACCCCCCCCAAATGCAACACAGGCCCACAGGTCTAACAAGTAGGGAAGAGCATGAAAACATCTTGCCATCTCCAGGCAAAGTTAAAACACTGGAATAGCCCAAGGGAATGGAATTCTAAAATTGGAGGCAGTGATGTTTTATCACTGTTGCCATGGCAACAAGACACTACAATTTTCCTAATAAAATCAGTCCTTTAACTCTTTTTCTTATAGTTTACACCTTGCTTATACTTACCTGTGATGAAGGACAAAGGTGTTAGCTTCAGTTTTAAGTGAAAGTTTACTTAATCTGTGTAAGAGGCCAATAATTTTGAGACGTGACGTGCATAAAGATTCTTTATGCTTGTCACATCTCAGGGATAAAAAGCTTGAGGTCAGGGTTTCTGAAGCCAGTTATTGAACACAAAATAAGTTGTAGTCGCTGCTGTTTATTGAACTCATTCTTTCCATCCATGCTTTTGGGGCAGATGGGTCGTGAAGATACCCATCCTCATTGCAACTTTTGTGTTAACTTTCTTCTTATTCAGGCATTTGCAGATTTAAAAACCTCCATGTAGAGTATGATAGAAACTTTGTACTGTGGTATCAACACATGTGGTAATATTGATTAAGGTTTTTATAAAAGCACTGAATTTTTATTTGGCTCCCTAGGCCATGTTCAGATGAGCAACCACGTGCCTATTGTGGTATCTCAAAGCAGTTTGAGATGCTGCAAGAGCACTCTGGGAATGGAAAAATGTTGGGCTCTAATTTTGATGCTGGGAAATCCCGGTATCAAATAAACATGCTGGGAAAAAGCTGGGTAGGAGATTAGCTCTAGGTAGGAGAGGCTGCAACCAGAGGCTGGGTCTTCCAAAGAGATGCACTAGCATCCGACCGTACCATCTCTGTCTGTCCCCTTCCCCTGCTTCTCCAGCATGCTGCCTCAGTGTGCTGGTGCAAATAGGAGCGGGCAAGCCTGCAGCAGTGGCTCAGACCCAGGTGCCGTCCCACATAAATAGGGACGTGGGGGTAGGGGGCGGGGAATGTTCAGGAGGGGTGAGTCCCTCATCCGGCCCCCCTGCACAGCCCACAGTGCCCTTGCTCGCCCTCCACTTCCTTCCCAGGAGCAGCAGTGGTTAGGGGCACTCATGTCCTTTCCTGGCAGAGACCCCTAGTGGTGTTGGGCCACCTCAGACTGGCAGCTGCACATGGTGCTGGCCTGGCCTGGCCCACATGCCCTTGAACAGAACCAGGCGAGCTCCTGCTGTCGCCCATGGCTTCTGACACCATGGGCAGAAGCTGTGTGCCTATGGACCTGGCTGGGTGTTGTCTGCATGGAGCTGGCCTGGCCTGATGGTGTACGGCCCTGCATGGAGGCCAGGTCCTGACTTGGCCTGAGGGTGTGTGGCTTCTGTTTGCAGTGCCGAGAGCTGCGGATGACAGGAGCTGTCCCGGTTTTGTCCAAGGGCACGTGGGCTGGGCTGGTGATGTGCAGCTGCTGGCCTGAGGCAGCCCTATGATGCTGGGGGTTGTGGGTATGAGTGACCTGATGGCTGCTGCTGCTTCTGCTGCTGTGGGGGTGCTGTAGGCTGTGTGGGAGGGGGGACGGCCCCTCTCAAGCAGTCCCTCCTTCCACCTCCACACCACTCCAGCTCCCCCACAAACCCCATACTCTCCCCTCTGCCTCCCCTACATCTCATACCCTGCATGTCCAGCTGCCAGACAGGACAGGACCTGCTGGTGGGAGCTGTGGCTCCACTGGAGCCCTGCCCCATGCCCACACTGGTGCTGGGACATGGGGCCCTGGCCTGTGGGGGCTCCTGGTCCCAGGAACCACTTGGGGGTGTGATGGGCTGTGGGTAGGAGTGGAGGTGGCAGCAGGGGTGTGTGTGTGTGTTAGAGATGGGGCTTGGGGTAAGAGAGTCTGCCAGAACCAGGCTTAGAGCTCTGTCATAGAGCAGCCTGGCTCAGAATGGCAGAGGCTTGCTCTGCCTAGTCCCTGAGCCCCAGTTGAAGGCTTCCCAGGAATGGCATGGGGATTGCTGGGGCCTGGACTCAAGAAGCAGAACAGTAACGGTTGGCACTGCTCAGAGCCACAAAGCAGCAGGTGGGACAGCTGCAGCTGGACTCCGTGTCCTGATGCTAGCTAGGATGGAGCTGCTGCCAGGTGGGAGCTAGTGGGGGCAGGCAAGGGCTGTGGGTCAGGAGTGAAGGACACTGGCAGGGCTATGGGTTGGGAGTGGGGGGCAGGGCACTGGCATCCCAGTGCTGCTCAGGACCCCACATCCTGGTGATTGAAGGGGGCAGGGGCAGCTCCAGTTTTTCTGTGATAAAAATACCAAAAGCAAGTGCCAAAGTGTATAGATATTTAGAATTCATTTTAGGATGATGGTAGTGGCACTGGTAGGCTTCAGTTGCTTTAAATTGCTTTAAACTTGTAAATACATCAATAAAACGTTGCTGAACTGATTTCTATATATAGTGGTGTTTCATTTTAATCATGAAAGAACATGGATTTTGGGTATTTTAATCGGAGAACTTACAGTTTTTAAATTGGGAACTCCAGGATCCCTGCTGGTGAAGCAGGTGGTGGGACCTGGGCAGAGGAGCCTGCCCAGGGTTAGCACCGGGAACCTAGCTGGAGGGCAGGCGAGGTGGCTGACCACCTGGCCATTTGGGGCCAGGAGGGACATGTTCCGACTGTTCAAAGTGGGCCACCACAAGGAGCGCATCTTCTGGGTGATGGTTGTCCAGATGGCAGAGCGGGGGCACCGGAAGACATGGCTGCAGTTCTGCCGGAAGGCCAACTGTGCAGCCACAGCCCACGGCAGCTGGCTCAGAGGTGCAAGCAGCTCTGCTACGGTGCCTGTATCAGAGCCAAGGTGGCTGTGCAGTCACTGTCTGGGTCTGGAAGGCATGCAGCCATGGGGCCTCAGGTCCAAGGGGCAATTGCTGTTGCAGGTGGCAGCAGATCACAGACAGGTAGCAGCCTCCACTGCCAAACTGCTGCAGTGGGTATAGAGTGCAGGGGTCACTCTAGGTTAGGGCTGCTTCAGCAGTCCAGCTGGCACCAGGGGCTCGTGTCCCTAGATACTAAGTGGCCGGGCCTCAGAAGCTGCTAAGTGCAAGTAGCCCTGAGTTGCTCTCCAGGGCAGAATTCTATACCGCCCTGGCCAGCACAGGTGCTGGCCTCAGCCTCTACCTCCCCCTGGGTGAAGATCTGGGAGGAGCTGGCAGAATCAGTTTGCCCCAAGTGGCACAATTTGTCCCACACCAAAGTGCATGTGTTCAGGCACCGGTGCTGAGGCACAAATCTCCTGCTTAAATTTGTGCTGCTGCAAATGCAGATATCTGGATGTGCACCTGGAGTCTTAGACGCCTTTGTCTACCTGTCAGTTTTCCTATGGCATGTGCTTCTGTCATCCTGCTACTCACGAGTACAGTTCGATAGTTCTTCTACCTATTTGTCTGTTAAGAGGTTTTATAAGACAGAGAAGTAGAAGGTAACTTGGATGATTGTAAGGAATGGCAATGTCACTAATGTCCATAGAGACCACTGGAGCAAAAGCTTTATCACTGTAGAAAAAAATGGAAGTCTATAATGATTCTGGCATTGTAGATCATTGGTGACTGGTCCTGCACAGAGCAGTGGTGGGGGAACTGATGACTTCCAGGTCATGTGGGGATCTCTCTCTGAGGGAAAAATAAGGGGAGGGAAGGGAATCAGGGACTTCTTGTGGGTTTTTTTTTTTTTAACCAAATTTTTTTCTTCTCTTGCAAGTGTTCTTTCTTTTTTTTAACAAAGCCTGTTGTCAGCTAGAATCAAAATCTGTTGAGAGAATATTTCCTTAATGAGGAAAATAGGCATACATTTTCAGAGGGAAAAGAAATATTGTGTAAGTTGTCAGAGATGCAACTGAAAATCTTAAATATGAAAGAATCTTAAATAATTTCAAGCTCTGATGCATGTTTAATGGTAAAGATGATTGGGAACGTAGTCTGTCTGGTGCAACTACCAGACTCGCAATGCCTGAATGCAGCTGATTAGTGTTGTGGAACCCAGTCCTATGTTGGGGTATAGGAACTTCACTGGGAACGCAGCTAAGCATAGCGTGAAGTGAAATCTATCTTCTTGGCTTTCGTTTACTGGCTATTGAATCGTGTTTCTATAAGTTGTGTTGTTTCAACAAATTGTTCTTTAACTTTATTTATTTGCTTGTTTCATTGGGATCATAATTTTCTTTAGTTTCTCATTAGAGTTGTGGAATGTAGAGTGGGTTTTAAGGGTGACTGGATATTCACGCAAAACATTTTGTTCACAGTTTAATTATTCTCTGTAATGCATGTGTAGCATTCCTTCAGAAATACAACCTAAATCTTTTGTTATGAAAGTAAAGCTATACTGATACTTTATCTGTGAGTATAACACTTCCAGCCTGCTACTTTAACCCTTAAAAATGAAACGCAACCAATCAATCTTTCTAGTCTGCATGTAATTGCCTACAGCGAAAGTAAAGCTTTTGCTCAGTCTCTTACAGTAGAAATGAGTTAATATATTGGCAACAGAATAACCATCAGCAATCAGCCTTTAGCTGTTTACTAATGAACTCCCAGATGAATGAAAGATTTCAGAATTCGTGTTTTACTCCAGGCTGTACATGAACTTAACACTTCAGTTGTAGGAAGAAAAGCAACTTAGATGCCATACATATAAATACTAGTACCTCATATCTCAATAAATTGCAGGTCATGAAAACAGCAGGAGCTGTAGTGCAATTCCGTATTTCAAAAACTAATAGGAGCCCTTAAGTTGAAATCAAGCAAAAGTTATTCTTATATGGTACACCTTTGCATTTTAAAAATAATCTTTATTTCATTGCGTATATTAAACATCTAAGAATTGTTTCAGGTTTTCTTTTTTTCTCTTTTATAGAATGTTTTTATTTGCCCACATAATATTGGGGAGGGGTTTTTTTTTTTTTTTTAAGAGAGTTGGGAAACAGTAAGGAAGGGTAAATCCAAAATGGTACTGGCTTCTGTTACATTTATACAGTGCTTTAAGTATATGGGGGTCATTCCTGCAGCCATATTCATCTTATTGATGGGACATGGAAGGAATGTATGTAAAGCTATTACTGCAGATGTGTAAGTAAGTTCTCTAATTTTAAGTCATGGCCTATGCCATTAAGTGGCGATCCAAAGCCTTGCAAAAGATTGCTCTGACTCCAGGATCTCTCCCCCACCTCCCTTCTGGTTATTTCTGAAGCTCTCAAAGCCTCAGGATGGCAGTCACAAAGCAAATGATGGGGGTTGTAGAAAAACAATTGGATTAAGCATCTAGACTTGTTCACAGGTTCTACAGATCATCTCCTGGCTTTGTCCTGCCACACAAGATATGGATTGCACCAAAGTACTTCAGAACCTCACAAGGTTACCTACCATTGCCTGTTACACAGGACAGTTTTGATAGGTGACAGAAGATACGGCCTCTCTAGTAAACTGCTGCCGTTTAAGATTCTCCTCTGGAAGAACAGCCTTTATTTGTACTATGCTTGTAGAAGCCAGGAAGTAGATAATACTCTTGAATGCCAACCCCTAATGATGTTTTTCATTTTACCACACAAAAGGAAAGCCAAATCAAATGTCCAACTTGGCCACTTATTTATCTTTGAAATAATAGGTTGAGTGTTTCTTTGGAATGGAAATATGAGTGATAAAATTGTCCTGCAGCGTTTGTAACTACGTGTAGCTATGGCCTGGACACACAAAATGATTCATTAAAAATAATGACTTTTGTTTAAAAGTCAAATAGAAAAAGGTCTAAAAAAATCAAACATAGTTTTCAGTTTTAATAAATTACAGTGGTTCTGGCAATTATGACATAGGGTCACTCTTTTAAATGATTCTTTAAAGAATCATTTGTTATAGGTAAGTTCCATTAACTCCTGTAAAAAGGGTGTGCAATTCCTGGTATACTTTTTTTTGGTAAGTTAACTACTACTTCTAAAAAATATATATACCCTAATAAAAAAAAAAAAGAAATGTTTCAGCTTTTTCTTTTTTCCAAGGTAGGCTACATAATAGATTTATAAAATATGGATGTTTTCACTCTAATGTCCAGTACTTAATGTCCTAATGAGAAAGTATTGTCAGAAAAGTACATAACGAAAATGTGTCACAAAAGGATAATAAAGTTATAGTACATAATAAAGTGTCACAAGTGCAGTAAAATAATATTATGTACTCTTGTGAACATAAATAGTTTAAAAAATGGGACTGTCAAGTTGTGACGTGGGAAGGGGTACGCTGTCAAAGCAATGGAGGTTGAAACTTGGTCATAATAAGGTCATTTTCAGAGTCAAAATACTGCCACCACAATGGGCTTGAATAATAGTTGCAGTGCTCTTTAGTTTGTCAATGTCAACTATTGTGGTTGTGGGGTGAGATCAACAGTAGCCAGAGGGAGAAAACAAGGGAAGCAGCAGAAGTGTGTTGGTGAGGTTAGGGAAGCAGGGAGGAAGATGCTGAAGAAAGGAGGCCTTTCAAGAGACTGAACATGGAAATTTATTTCTCTAGTTTAACTGCATGATTAGCCAACAGAATGTAGTGAGCTGAGATTACTCACTTTTTCTTTTCACAGGCAGGCTTCAGGACTTAACAAGCGGTATAACACTTACTGAGGTTTTAAAACCTCTGTAATATAACCAGGTTTATCCATTTTCTCCCTGTGCTACTTGGCAATATTAACATAGTTGAAGAAAAAAATGAAACATCAAAACCTTTTGAAAAGAGGTTGCATGGAATATTTGTAATATCTTTTTGACTTGAGTAAAATTTGTTACATATAGGAGCATTTTGTTTAAATAGTTATAATTTATCTCTTGCTCTTGTCCTTTGTATCTGCAGGTTTCAGCAGACAAATGGTGGAGATTCTGAACAAACATAATGTTCTGTTTAGCAGTTTTGATATTTTTTCTGATGAAGAAGTACGACAAGGACTGAAAACATATTCCAACTGGCCTACTTATCCTCAGTTGTACGTAGCTGGAGATCTCATAGGTGGACTGGATATTGTTAAGGTTAGGTCTGTCTGTTTGTCTATACATGTGCACACACAAACTTTTGTATATATATAGTGTGTGTGTGTAAATTATATAATATATATACAATTATATAGCACTTGTGAGTAAAACACTTTCTAAATCTCAACATTTTCTGTTTTTGCTCCCCCCGCCCCGCCCAGGAACTTGAGGCTTCTGGAGAACTGGACACAATTTTTCCCAAGGCACAAAAATTGGAGGACAAGTATGACACCTTATGTCTATTTTAGCAGCATATAAGAAATTTTAGTTTTAAGGGTTGCATCCATATTCTTTATCTGAATCGCACCAAGAATTAGCTTTTAAGAAAATCACATAACAGAAGATCCTTTATAGAACTTTCCACATTATAACTATGAAAGTGACTTTTCCCCTGATTTGAACTTTATTTGTTGTAGACTTGATTAATGATGTCACTAGAGAATGATTATGTTGGTTTGGTCCATTCTTCACTTTTTTTGGTCTTTCCTGTTGTCATTACATACTTAGTGATCTATTCTCAGTTTTCAGTCCATGAATTTGGCTTGGTGTTTAGAAGTCAATTGGACCATCTTAAGCCTTTCAATTTGACACTGTTTAAATTGGGCTGCAGCACTGGGATGGGTAACCAGACAAATCATGTGTGCCAGATGCATGAAGAGTCTTTCTGTAATAGTAGGGACTAGCAAGTATCAGCAGTTTTCTTTTCCTTTTATAAGAACTGTGCAGTTCAGGCAAGAGTGAGGGTGCTGAATTTTGAAGGGTTACAAGGCAAATACTGAAACATAGATACCAGTCATGGTCTGAATCTAGTGACTAGCAATCCATAAAGCTGTGAAAATAACTGGTCCTCATCCTTGATGCATTGAACCACTCAACAAGCACTGAATGCAAACAACCACAAGGTGTTAAGCTGCATAATTTAAATACAGAAGTTGTAGATGAGTGCATGTCCCTTGATTTGCTATGAGCTTTTTGCCTCTATATTTTTACTTATACAGTGACGTAGTACTTTTTTTTTTTTTGCAAATCTTATTTAGACTTAAGTTTTGCTTTTGTGTTATTCACTGGGGATAACCATATTCCTATGTGCAAAGGTCAGTCTCCCCAATGATTCATTTACAGTGCCAGGATTTATAGTTTGTATTATTTTGTGTGTAAGAAGTAGTATATGAAAATTATTGATAGGAAAATGCACAGTACATTTGGGAAAACGAGATATTATAGTAAAATAGAATCAGAATGTGAAGCATTATGTTTTGGAAAGTATGCAGATAACCATGGTAAACCAATTTGTGACTCTAAGGATGGAAGCTATGGGGTTCTAAACATCCTTGAGAGTAAACAGGCTTCCAGTTTCCATTTGGGGGGGAAAAACAATTCCAGACAGCAGTCTACCTGGAACTAAGTTTATGTATCTTGTGGAAGAAGGGTTTAGACTCCTCTGCTGAGACCTGAACCACTGGCTCCAAGGGTACTGAATATTTTGAAACCTGGTGTTTAGACTACTGAACCATTCCCTACAGCAGAGCTGCTGGTAATAAATAAAACCCTTCTCAGTTATTTCCTTTAAGTCTGATTCAGTTTGTAAAAGATGATTTTTTTTCTCTGTTTTTCTCCTCTTCAGCTTGCCAGCCTGGATCATTTCTAATTTGTTTCATCCAGTATGTGCATAACTTTCTGTAAATCAGGATTTGTTTAGATGGATGTCTCCCTAAACAAGTTGCAAAATCTTTTAAACCAGGATTTGAAATTTCCACTAATTCTGACAATAATGTAACGTGTACAATTGTCTATTTCCTGTACACGCTTGTCTTAGAGCTCCTCTTCAAAAAAGTAAAACTAGAAGTTTTAGAGCTAGTCCAATATGTTGTCTGATGAAAAACATTGCTCATTTTACAGCAGTTGTTGTTGCCCAGTTTAATTTTCATCTTTCCATTGATAGTTTCATAGTTAGTAGGGTCAGAAGGGACCTGAGCAGATCATCAAGTCCCACCCCCTGCCATGGCATGAAAGAGTACTGGGGTCAAACGACCCCACAGCAAGGTGATTGTCAAGCCTCGTCTTAAAGACCCCCCAGGGTAGGAGCCAGCATCCCTTCGCTTGCAAGTTGGTTCCAGATCCTTGCTGCCCTGACAGTGAAGTAGCGCCTCCTGATGTCTAGTCTGAATCTACCCTCTGCCAGCTTGTGACTGTTATTTCTAGTCGCTCCTGGTAGTGCTTGGGGGAACAGGGACTCTCCCAATGCCTGCTGGTCCCCTCTGACCAGTTTGTAACAGACCACTAGATCCCCCCTCAGCCTTCTCTTATGGAGGCTGAACAGGTTCAGGTCCCATAGCCTGTCCTCGTAGTGCCTGCCCTGCTGCCCCCTGATCATGCGAGTGGCCCTCCTCTGGACCCTCTCCATGCTGTCCACATCCCTCTTGAAGTGCGGCGTCCAGAACTGGAAGCAGTACTTCAGCTGCGGCCTGACCAGTGCCACATAGAGGGGGAGTATCACCTCCCTGGACCTGCTTGAGATGCATCTGTGGATACATGACAAGGTGCGGTTGGCCTTCCTGACTGCATCCCCACACTGCCTGCCCATGTTCATCTCGGCATCAGCGATGACTCCAAGATCCTTT